CCTCAGCTTCAGGATCTGTCCTTCCAGTGAGCACTCAGGGTTGATTTCCTTCAGAATGGATAGGTTTGTTCTCCTTGCAGTCCAGGGGACTCTCAAGAGTCTCCTTCAGCACCACAGTTCAAAAGCATCAATTCTTCAGCAGTCAGCCTTCTTTATGGTTCAGTTCTCACTTCCATACATCACTGCAGGAAAAACCATAGCTTTGACTATGCAGACCTTTGTCGGCAATGTTATGTCTCTGCTTTTTAAGATGCTGTCTAGGTTTGTCATCGCTTTCCTCCCAAGAAGCAGGCGTCTTTTAATTTCATGGCTGCTGTCACCATCTGCAGAGATCAGGGAGCCCAAGAAAGTAAAATCTGTCACTATGAAATTACCATGAAGTAATTTAGCAGATTTCCATCCCTTCCTATTGTAAAGCTCAGACATATTCAGAAATGTTCTTAAATCTATAGCTTTTATTCTCTGGTACATCCAGCTGATTACTGTATTTTTTGCACCATAAGACTCACTTTTTTCCCACAAAACAGGGGGGTGGAAAGTCTGTGCATCTTATGGAGCGAAGAAAACAGATTATATTTTCCTGTTTTCTTCTCCTAAAAAATCGGTGCGTCTTATGGAAAGGTGCGTCTTATGGAGCGAAAAATACGGGTAATTTTTCTTTTCCTTTCCCTTTTCAGGTTATGCACTGAAATACCTGCAGCGGCAACAGAGAGAGCTCTATGCAGTTGGTGCTCCCCGGTATCAGCATGTGGGAAGGGTTATCATATTTGAGATCAATGCCACAACTGCCAACTGGACGCTAAAACAGGAGATCAAAGGGGAGCAGGTGAGGAATATGAGAACCTTAGGGAAGTTTGGGTCAACTCTGAGGCCGACCACATAAAGTTTTGAGTTCTGCAGAACTCTTCATGAGGTTCAAAAATCTGGCCAGATACAATGCATTTGGCTCAGGAAAGCAGGCTCTCACCGTGTGAAAGTGTGGTGGAGATAGTAAGTATTGTGTTGTTGTTGTTTATACACTACATTTCTCCCAACAAGGGACGCAAAGCGGCTCGCAACATTAAAATTCAACTCAATAAGTTAAATATGGGAAGATAAATGAGACAATATATGCTTTGAAATACAATTAAAAGATTAAAACATGAAAACACAAAAAAGATTAGTTTCTAAAGAAGGGTCTCTGTGCCTTTTTACACACTCCTTTTGCAGACTGGCTCATATTTTGGGGGAGTCCTCTGTGCTGTAGATATAGACATGGATCAGGAAACAGACCTGCTCCTTGTGGGGGCCCATCTTTATTTCACAGAGACAAGAGGAGGTAATGTGTCTGTCTACGGCTGGGAAGAGGTAAGCAAGCAGGGCAAAAAGAAGGGGGAGGGTTGGCTGGGGGGGGATCCCTACATCCTCCTGCAGGCTCTGAAATAAGACCTTCTTTTTTCCAGGAGCGTCTCGTCCCGAGGGGGGGGCTCCATGGGGACCCAGGATATCCCCTGGGCAGGTTTGGAGCAGCCATCACAGACCTGGAGGACATCAATGGGGATGGACTGACCGATGTGGCTGTGGGTGCTCCCTTAGAAGATGATGAGAAGGGCGCAGTCTATATCTACAATGGCCACGAAAAGACCTTGCTTAGCCACTATAGCCAGGTATCGGCATATTCGTATTGCACACTAATGTGCCCTAAGAGAACAGCTAACTTGCTGTGGGAAATACTATATTATTCCATGTATAAGACTATACTTTTGTCTAAAATCTTTAGACTAAAAATTGAGGGTCGTCTTATACACAGAAGTAAGCTGAGGAGAGAAAAAAACAAGCGGAGGGGAAAGCAGGGATCAAAGTGTACTATTCTGAAACTTCCACAATCTCACCACAAGACTTTCCAGTCTTAATATTTTTATATTTCGTTTTCACTTTTGTGGTGTAGTACAAATCTGATAACATAAAAAAGAGCAGGAACAGTTGTTATTGCAAGAAAACTAAGCCGGAGCAGCAACAACAATAAACCCCGAATAAAATCAGCCATTCAACAATGAAAGAAAACACCACACACTTCCACTGGGAAGCACCTGGCTGCGGATGTGTGTGGTCTTAGGTTCCAGTATACCACCAAAAGGAAGGACTGGTAAATCGCTCCTGGTGATTTATACCTAGAATTGACTTGATGATACATTGTTGAATCTTTTCCTAAAGAAGGTCATGCAAGAATAGTTCCTCACTGGTTCAAGTAGCTACTGTGATATTGTGAAGAGTTCTGCCTGTCTGGAATCAGCCAGTCCAATTGCTACCCTGTCCTAAACTAGCAGCATTTCTCTCCCACAGAGAATTACAGGAGCTGGCATGTCTCCTGGCTTGAAATTCTTTGGGCAGTCCATCCACGGAAAGACGGACCTCAGCAAAGATGGCCTCATAGACATCACTGTGGGAGCCCTGGGAGAGGCCTTGGTCCTCCGGTGAGTATCAGAGAACGAGGATCTCTTTCATCCTCCCAAGGAGGTGGTGGAGCCCAAGGGTGGGCTCAAGTCCCACATACATTCCTATAGCCAGAGTGTCCCTCGTTGCCAGCTGAAGTCTTTTCTGTGCCTAAATTGTCATACTAGGAACAATTTTCAAGAAAAGTCAGAAGGAAGAGTTAACATTTCTTCCTCACAAGGTGCAACTCATCTGTCCGTCTCCACTCCTCATGGCAATGGTGAGAAACATTGCTATCAATAGATTTTATTTTTTTCCCTAAAATAATTTCAAGTGGGACACCGATAGACACAGGTTGACCCACCTCTCCTATATAGCATCATCCAAAAAATGTATTTTTCTTTATTTGGCCATTAACTAGAGAGTAAACATTTACATCCACAAGGATGGAATTTCAATCTTCCTCTCCCCCACCCCCAGCCAAGTTTAACTGCATGCTGTAGTGGAAGATTTATCTGGAGGGGAAGGTAAAAGATGGAGGTGGGGTGAAGGAAGAGAGAGGTGGAAAAAGAGATACAGAGGAGTAAGAGAGAGAGAGAGAGAAAAATATTTATTGATCTGCTGAAAAGGTTAAATAACCTGGACAGATGACCTTTCCTCAGATGATCTGGCAAACACTTCTCTTTAGTGTGCTTGTAGTACGGCTTACTCTGAGGTGTGTGCATCTTTTTCTGTATGTTGCACTGTACTTATTGTGATAATAAGTATCATACACCATAGCCTACCCTGGTTACCTCTTCCTCTGTGTGTATGTGGGTTGGTGGGAAACGTGGTATTCTGGATTCTCAGTGATGGGAGTCTGTATTGGTTATGTTAGTGAGCGAGCTGTATGTGGGGCTACTCTCTCAAGGATGACAATCCGTTCATTCTAAGACCAGTCCTGGAGCACGCTCATTCATATTACAATAAAACGAGTACCTTGGACCAAGAGCTCAGTGCCTTTCACTTATGAGTGAAGTAGCAACACATAGCCCACAATAGTCAACTTTTAGGTATCACTTCTAGGGCAGGTTGGAACCCATGCATCTCTTTCTCTGGTTGATAATGAAGCAGTTGGTCACAAAAGCTTTGATCTGTAGAGGGCAATGATTAACAATTAACATTTTCGGATACCTGCCAGCTCCAGACCGATTGTTACAGTGGTCACACATGTGAAGTTCTGGCCCAAGGAAATTCGAGTGGAAGATGTGGAATGTTTGGGGGATACCAGCTCCTGGCAGAATAAGGAGCTCAACCTTACCATCTGCTTCAGCACCAGCTTGGCCACCAGCAGCTACAAAGGTGAGGGTTGTCAGGACACCACTGACATGCAGAGATGCTCTGTAATCCTTCAGGCCAGGGATCCAACTTCTTTATCTGTATCATAGAGGATGCAGCTATGGGGATAGAGCAAATGCCTATTTTCCCCTTTCAACTCCTTCTCCTTTGATTGTCACAGTGTGTTGACTCACATTTAGTGGAGAATCCAAAGTATACTTGTGCCAGCCCATTACATTCCAGTGTTTTCTGTGTGTTTTCCTCCTGTGTTTTTAGAGACTTGAAGTTTTAACTGTCCTGTGCTATTGTAATGCCAGTTTGTCCATTGCAGGTTGGTAAAATCTTATTGGGGTTTTGAAAGGCACTTGTGTTTTTAGTTAGAAGCTTCCTCTTTTTGGTTTCTGTCCTGTTTATTTTGGCCACTGCAGCGGCAGCATTCTTGCTTTTAATAGCAGTTCCCATTCCTGAATGGCTGGCTGGGTCTTTAACTGTCCTCTCTTTTGTTTTTGTTTTAGTTTATTTTTGGATGTTTCTCTTTTGTCATGAGAGAAAAAATGGGGGAATTATGAGGAAAAGTAATTAAACACTTTCTCCTTCCCAATGGAACTAGATCTGAGTTTTTTAAAAGGGTGGTTAAAAAGTCCACCCCCCTCACAGATTGCTTTGTCGTGGCGAAGGGGCTGGAGTAATTCAGAGAAGCGATGGGCTATGCCATACAGGGACACCCAAGACGGACCGGTCATAGTGGAGAGTTCTGACTAAACGTGATCCACCTGGAGCAGAAACTGGCAAACCACTCCAGTATCTTTGCCAAGAAAACTCCATGGACAGAAATAAAAGGCTAAAAGATTTGATGCTGGAATATGAGTACCTCAGGTCAGAAGGTGTCCAACATGCTACTGAGGAAGAACCGAAAGGACACTCAGCTGAGGATGCGCCTGAAAGTGAAAGGAAAGTCTGATGCTGCAAAAAAAAATACTGCATAGGAACCTGGAAAGTAAGATCGATGAACCTTGGTAAGCTGGATGTGGTCAAACAGAAGATGGCGAGAATAAACATTGGTATCCTGGGTGTCAGTAAACTAAAATGGACAGGAATAGGCAAACTCAATTCAGATGATTATCATATCTACTATTGTGGGCAAGAATCCCATAGAAGAAATGGAG